TCTTTTCAGCACTTCGTTTACTACCTCATTCTGTTTCTGGCCTGTCTTCCAGCGTTGAACATCTATCAGAATGCCGTTGGCTCCACTGTCGCGCGCGAATTTTGCCTAAAAACCAAACATCTTGAATATCATTTGTAAATATCTATGTTCGATAGAGAATTGTGTTTGTGAACCTGACCTGCAAGAAGAATAAGATCATTGCTTTAGTACGCAAGTTTCAATTTTAGTAATCTCTCCACGAAAAGTCCCCCAGAGCAGACTGAAGACGATGTCTGTTTTTAGCGTGATTAAGTAATGAGTAATAAACAAATAACCATCTCGATCTAGCGAACTTCTTCAATTCATAGTGCATCGATGTGGTAGTTTACCTATGGACCGCTAACTCTCTCATGGAACCCAGTCTAATGTGCCCTTGTCCAGCGACGGTCGGTTCTTTCTGCAACAAGTTCTGCCTTTGGTCTCCTCAGCTTCTTCAATCGACCAATGACGTTGCAGACTCTTCTCTGTGCTGCAACCTATTAATTCGTCTTCCTATCTATACTTGTTATTTCTAACATGCATCTTTTCTTGCTGTGTTGCGTAATCTGAAGTTGATCAATAGCTTTCAGTCTTAAAGTCCACTTTCACATCCACAGGTTTTCACTGGGAGTACACGTTGGTCCAAAACCTTCTGTTCAAACCGAAGTCAGTGTCCCGAATAAGCATTTCCGACAAGCGATCCATGTCATTTTACTCTCATGCTAATATGCCAGGAGTCAGTTCTTCAATGAAAACACGAGCTGTACCATAGAGAGGAAACAATTTAGCATCTCTTCAAGCCTCAGTGGTCGTGAGGTCACGCATTTGCTAAATATGACATGACTCCATTTTGCGGGCCTCAAACCCGGATGAGAAAGGAGGAACTTGGAGACCGTCGCGAAGTCTCCGTAAAACTCAGCCACCTGCCTTCCACGATATTGACGTCATCGAACATTATCACAATCCCGTTGTCATGGGTCACCAGCGTCCGCGGAGGTTGTTGCAGGATTCAGGTAGGCTGTGAAAAGAAGCGGATCAAGACCTGATCCCCGCCTTCTGGCAACCGAGGGCATGGCAGCACAACAACGGGTCGATAAAACGACGACCAAGACACAAGTTAACAACAGGGTGGCTACTCGTTCTGAATGGAGGAGGCAGATAGTGTGACGTCGTCATCGCACGTCAGAAAAGGCGCTACCAGAACTACAGGTCAGTGGTAGCTTACGTCGGAAACTGGAATATATCGGTACTCAGCGGAGAGGAGAGAGCAAAAGTTAGTTGATGAGGCCTTAACTCGACAGAACTGGACTCTCGTCAACGAAGCGCCAAGGCTCTAGAATCCTTGAGCCTCTGCAGGTGGCAGCTATTCTACTCAAGTGTCGATATCATGACTCGCGCTCAGACCGGTGTGGGCGTTCTGGTAGAACCCAACCTTGCCGATAGAATTATTGATTGGAACATGTACCCAACCTTGGTACAGGTTTATGCGCCCAGTTTCGAGGGAGAATATGATTCCTTTCTTGAGGAATTACAGGTGCTCTGTCCAAAGTGCCGAATACAGAGTCCCTCATACCGATGGGCGGTTTTAATGCGCATGCCGGAGCAGACGTTGAAAAGTGGAACGGCGTGATTGGGAAAAACGGCCCTAGCTACCTCAACTACAACGGCATGAGTTGTTGCGATTTTTTGCAAACAACGGATTGTCCATTATGAACACCTTCTTCGAGCATCGAAAAGTGCATCAGTACAGCTGGTAAGGGAAGCTTGTGCACAGAAGTCGATGATCGATTTGATAATCGTATCGTCTGACCTAAGACGCTCAGTAACGGATGTTCGTGTTAAAAGAGGCGCAGAGCTATCAACCAATCATCAACCTGTTGTTGTCTCGCCAAGCTGTAAGAAATGGAGTATCATATGAAGATCTGGTAGCAAAAACAACCAGAGAATCAAAAGGGGAAGCATTTTCTTCAGCGGATGTAATGGCAAAATTTGCAAACAACATTGCACGATGTTTAAACGGATCCAGATAATGACCGATGACCAATGATGTGGATACCGGATGGTAGCTCTTTAGTAGTGGTGTACTCGCTGCCGCCAAGTGCGATGGTTTAAAACTTGTTGGCCTGCGCCTGGCGATCAGAAACTTATCGGTAAACACCAGAGGTTTAACTGCCTGTCACCGAGAGTAAGACTGAATTCAAGCCTTTGGAAGCAAAGAGCCTTCACCTCGAATGCAGTACGAAGAAGCGCGCAAGGAAGAAGCGAAAGCAGTAATCAAAGCCACGATTGATTCCTGGGAGAAGTTCGGTGAGGTGTTGGAGTCGAATTTCCACATGGCAAACAAAGTATTCGGCAGACCATCCGCCGGCTCCGAGGTGAAAAGACGGGCAGTCTCAGAGTCTTCAAGGACAGATCTGGACACCCTCTTACACAACCTGTAGGTAAAATTACACAAGCTGTGTAAAGCTTGAAAAATGGAAAAGCTGCTGGAGTTGATGAAATCCGCCCTGATATGCTCAAGGCATTAGGCGAACAAGGCATGTGCTGGCTAACAAGTGTCTGTCAAACTGCGATGACTGTGGGGAAGACATTATTTCATGAGCATTCTTCAAGGTATTTTCGGTTGGTGCTGATTCGTTGGAAGCCTGTAAGCTTCTCCGAATTAAGCGAACGAGCAACGGCAGACGACCCCAGCAGCAACCGAAAACTATGACTTTGTTTAAATTGGAGAAGGCTCAGAAGATGCGGACCGAACCGTCCGCGTAGATCCATCATCTGTAGACCCACTGTGTCGCGTTGTATTAATAGACTAGATTTGTGCTGGTTTCCCATAATCACATTGTTGCGGCCTGGTCATCACCCTTTAGCGTGAAACAAAGGTGAAGACAAAATTACTCACTTATACAGTTCATATTTTGATATTAGAAGGAACTAACTGTA